TCGTAGAATTTTAGTTCGTTAGGTCGTTTCACGAGTGAAGCGTGATTCGTCTGCCTTGGTTGTATCCTGGGACTCGATATTCGTACAGTTTCGTCTCACTACGGAGCGAATATTAAGAGTTAAGGAAAGAGATTTATCTCGCCTCCATGTCTTATATAATCGTTTATTTCCTTAACTCCGTCTTTCTTATATCGTTCATCTCGATCCGGTTTTCCGGCTTCTACAGCTTTGTCATCTAGCTTTGAACTGAATCATCTTGATGGGTTTTCAAGATTTTAGTGATCTAGAGAGGGAGCTAAAAGAACATGGAGGTTGACAAGGGACTTGCCCTCTTTTGTTGTGATCTTCTGTGATCTTCTCATCACTTGATAAAGGTCTGACGCCATAAGACAAAAGGTTACATAAAGAATCATACAAAGCAATGTCACATAGTTTGAAAAAAAACTAAGAAACATGAACAATAACAAATGGGTTTTGAGGGTATTGAAAAGGCCAAACATACATATACTACTGAAGCTAGCAACAATGTTGCTGTTCTTCTCTATCATATAGATTTGTCTCCTGACAACACATAGTGTATGAATCTATAACCTAAAGGCTAACAGCATCAGAGCAAATGATAAGACATAAAAGAACAAAAAAAGTTGAGAAGATTTGCAATTGTGTGAGATTTATTATTAAAAAAATTAACAAAAAGACACTTCATCTCTCTCTAATCCAAGATTATTCTCTGATCCACACTCTTCACTTAAATAAAGGTTTAATGCCATCAAGACACAAAGATTACATGAGAATCACACAAAGCAATGTCTCATAGTTGGAAAGAACTAAGACAATAACAAATAGGTTCAGAGGGTATTACAATAATTGACAAAACATACATGTATACTACTGAAGCTTGAGTTCCATGATGTTCTTGGTCTTAGGAGGATACGCCAAGTAAACCTTGACCACTCTCTCTACAACCTCAAGCTGCGACTTACCTTCAGCATAAGCCTCCTCCACCTTAGATGGATCAGTGAGATTCTTGTTCATGCGGAACCCATCCAAGGTCCTTCTCTTTGTGTACTCCCTGATGTTGTAGTCAGGGTACTTACGCCCTGCTCGGAGCAGGGAACGGCAGAGGCTGAGGACTTGACTTTTATCTACCATTGCAGGGAATGGAAACTTAACTCTTTTATTGGTACAAAGCCTGCTTAGTTAGACGCAATGCCAAAAATTAATTAGCAGTTTCAAAATGGAGACAAGATAAGTGCTAATGACACAAACTTTGAGATATGACAAGAAGATTTTGTAGACAGTGGAACTGGATTACAGAAAAATAAGAACCAAATTTTGACATTAACATAAGCAACACAAGCTTCATTGAGAAGTATGACAAAGAAGCAATTAAAAGCCAAAACTTTTTAAAAAAATTCGATTAAAATTACTCTAAAAACATACTCTTTAGACAACCAAAACCTATAGAATTGCAGCCAACAACCAAAAGAGACAATAATAAGCCAACAACCAATCTAATACACAAGAGGATCCAACCAAATTTACAATTGTCTACACCAATAATAAGCATAGAATCTGAGTGATTAGCAGTGCCAAAAACGGAGACANAAAAAAATTCGATTAAAATTACTCTAAAAACATACTCTTTAGACAACCAAAACCTATAGAATTGCAGCCAACAACCAAAAGAGACAATAATAAGCCAACAACCAATCTAATACACAAGAGGATCCAACCAAATTTACAATTGTCTACACCAATAATAAGCATAGAATCTGAGTGATTAGCAGTGCCAAAAACGGAGACAAGGAGTCAAGATAAGGGCTAAAGGCACAAACTTTGAATAGGACAAGAAGACTTTATAGACAATGGAATTGGATTAAAGCAAGAAAGAACCAAAATTTCTCCAGAAAATCCGAACATTAAACATAAGCAAACACAAGCTTCATTGAAGACTATGCTAAAGAAGCAATAAAAAAACCAAACAAAATCTATCAAATTGTCTCTAAAAAACAACCTCTTTAGACAATCAAGAAGAAGCTTAAAAGTCCTACACCTACTTAACAGTGCTAAAACTCCACCAAAAAAATCAATAGAATTCCAGCCAACATCTAATTCACACAAGAGAATCCGAACAAATTCACCAAACTATTTAATACCAAACAAGAATAGATTCTGAGGAAATAAAAAACTCCAAATCCGTATAAACAACATACCAGGAGGAGGAGCTCACGTCAACAACAATGGAGGAGCTTGGCGTTCTCCGTGTTTTGACATAAACCTAGTTAGCTGCTACCCGAAACTAAACCGGGAAATTAGTTAAACCGGTTGAGTAATGGGCCTAACATTGAGGCCCTTTATATTGGGCTGATATAAGTGATAAAGCCTTTCTTTAGTAATTTGTATGACGTGGCATATTAGAATTAGTTAGAGCATCCACATCAATGAACCTCCTCTTGGGTTCATTGAATCAATTTTTTATTATTAAAATTTTTCTGTTTTTTTTTTGATTTTTTTTAAAAAAAAAACAATTTCTAAACTAATCCCGGGTCGCCACGTGGTGGACCTTAGGAGAGAGGGGTTCACCTGAGAGAACTTTAGGAGAGAGGGGTTCATAGATTTTTGTTATGTTATTTTTTTTTCTTGATTTCCGTGTGAACTCCCCCCATAAACCTTCAATGGGAATGCTTAGAGCTTTGCTGTTTTGAGATGCTTAAATTGAAAATGGTTTTTGGTTTGTTTAAGTTTACTTGTTTTTGTCTCTGTCTTAGATTTGCTTACAATATAATCAAAATATGCATTCTCATGGGATCATTTTGAAACTTGGTATCTTGATCACAACCAGTTTTACTAGAAGGATCCCAGACAGCTCTCACCCTGTTTGCAAACTATAAAGCTAAGCTTTTACTCAGTTAAAACAGTGAAACTCTAGACAATGTGAACAGTTTAAGGCAACATGTGTTTAGGTTTTCTTTCTTCAGTCTTCTCTCTGACAATAAGGAGACTTTTTTTTTGGTCAAAAAAGACAATAATAAGGAGACTAAGTTTCAATTTTTTAGGTAACATGTTCAAACAAGACGTGAACCCAAATTGGTAACCCACAAAGTCTTAGAAGTTTATGACACTGATTGTGCTGTCTGACAGAGTAGAAGATTCTAGAGAAAACGTCTCAGAACCACCTAGAGATTAGATGGTTCCATTTCAGTTTTTTTTTTCATTCTGATGTATTTGTGTATAGTCTTCTTGATCTTTGCAAATGGAGCAAAAACCATAGACAACAAGTTTCTATCTTTATATTGTATAGTTGAAGACACATTCCACTAATCTATATTTAATCAAATATAACTATATAAGTATCAGTTTTGTAGTATTATAATTAAGTTAGACCAAAATGACACAACATTAATTATTAATTGGATCTAAAGTTACATAAATAAGAAATTTAATTAATGAAAAACAAAACTTAAATATGAAGAGACAGTTATAAAAGTTGGCCCTTCCCTCTCTCTCTCTCATTAGACTTTCTCCTCTTTCTCTCTGTTGTTTTGTGTGTGTTTACTTTCCTAACAATCAAACCTACTTTTCTTCTTTCATCAATTTGTTTCCCAAAATAAAGAGAAACTAGTCTCCCTTTGGTAAGGCAACCTTCTGGTTTATATATTTGTTTTCCTCTCATCTTCTGTTGATTATTTTCTTTGTCTTCTCCTGTTGCAATTCTCTGAAAATTAGGTTTTCATTTCTTGAGCAGCAATCTAAAGGTATCATTTTCTGAATCCTTGCTTTCTCTGTGTTTTGTGTGTTTGGTCATGTTTGAGTTTGAAAACTACTGGTGTCATGATCAGTTTACAGTTTTGTCTTTTAAGTATTGATGTCATTAAGGATTTGTAGACGTGCATCATGCACATATTTTGATAAGACTCTTGAAAGTCAACATGTGTCCTTTCTTTGGATGAAGATTCCTTCATTTAAATAAATGTTGAAATCAAGAAAAATGTTTTGAGTCATCTTTGGTAGATTTTTATTACAGATTTGTTTTCAATGATGTCAAATTCTACAATATGATCATAATATGTTAATTTGATTACTAATCACTCTTCTGGTTATAAATGTCTCAGATTGGATCTTTTTGTGTTATGCAGTGACTCTTGTATCCTCTACAGGTTTTGTTGGTTTGCACCTGTTTTTGGCAATGGCTGAAGAAGATTCTGTGGAAGCTGCACTTGTTAAGGATGTGGGACCTGTGGAAGATGTTGCTATATCTGTACCATCCAAGGGTCAAGAAGAGTGTGTATCAGAGACAAATAAAGTGCCAGTGCCTAAGCCACCAAGTTTGAATTCAAGAAGACACTCAACAGGTAAACCACAGGTCAAGTCCCGTTATCGTGGGGATCATCATGTGAGCTCAATTCATGATCAATGTAAACATGGGACACATGGCAAGAGGTGTGACCATGNATATCTGTACCATCCAAGGGTCAAGAAGAGTGTGTATCAGAGACAAATAAAGTGCCAGTGCCTAAGCCACCAAGTTTGAATTCAAGAAGACACTCAACAGGTAAACCACAGGTCAAGTCCCGTTATCGTGGGGATCATCATGTGAGCTCAATTCATGATCAATGTAAACATGGGACACATGGCAAGAGGTGTGACCATGGTGATGCGGTGAAACCATGGAAGGTGGTGAGGAGAAAGAGTGTTGAAACCTCAGAGACTGTAGAAGTTGTGACTTCAGGTTTGAGAAGGAAGTCAGTGGCAAGTGTGAGTAATCAGATGTCAAGTACCAAACCAGAGAGCTCTGTGGCTGCAAAGAGAACCGTGAGTACTCTGACTGGTTCAGCTTTTGTAAAGAAGGTTCCTGGCTTAGGAACTGAGAAGCCAAGTTCTGTTATGAAGAAGGTTTCTGCTCCAAAGAGTCTGAAGAATAAGGAGAATGCAAAGACTCAGACTATTAGCAGTGAAGATGTAAAGGAGAAGACTGTGTGTGTTGTTGAAGCTAGTGTGAAAGGTGTTCAGAGTGAGAAGAAAACCATGAGTAGTGGTGATGCAGAGGTTGAGGCAGATCAAACCCTAGAGAAGAAGATTAGGGCTAAGAGGATGTCAGGGGTAAAAGTGAATCCAACTAACCAGCTGAGTTTCAAGAAAGGGAAGACTCTTGAACCAAAACCTGAGGACTCTTCTCCTAAATGGATCAAGTTTAGAAAGAAGGTTGTGCAGGAACTGAAACCCCAAACAGAAGGGAGGAAGAAGAAGCTGAAAGGTATTGATGAGACAAGAAGTGATACTTGTGAAGGAAGCAAACGTGAGAAAGTTGTTCTAAGGCATCAAAAGGTAGAAGGGAAGAAGAAAATGATGACACTGTTCAACAATGTGATTGAGGAGACAATGAATAAGTTGACAAAAGTGAGGAAGACCAAAGTGAAAGCTCTTATTGGTGCTTTTGAAACTGTAATCTCTCTTCAGGACACTAAGACGACACCTCAGAGTAAGGACACAACAGTTTCGTCTAAGGTTTAGTTCTTTGGGAGAAACAACTAAAACTTCTATGATCGATATTATAAACTTAAGAGGAAGAGAGCCAGAGATAAACTGTCTTGTCTATGTTATGTTATGTATTTTGAAGTTGTAAAGCTTTCAAGTTTTTATCTCTTTTACATAATTAAAAAAATAAACAGTTTGTTGTATTCTACAATCACGATACAGCTAACTTATATAGATCCATGTTCATTGCATGACTAACAAGAGTGAGCTCAATTCTCTTGTAGAAACAGAGAGTATACATGTGTTGTTACTTAGGCAACACGTTTGGTAGATATTGCGTTCTGTGGCATGTTTGGTAGCACCAATTATTACAGTTTGGTCCGGTTTATGTAAAACTGTATAAAATTTTGTAGTTCAAAAGAAACTAAATCTGTGATTAAGGAACAATCATTTGTTTTTATTTCTCTTAAATACCATTGAGAAACATTATTTTGTTTGGTTTACGGTTAATCAAGCACGACAAGCTGGGGTTCGAAGGTTTTGAGAGTGGACTTTGTGCTGGTCTGTTGTTAAAAGATTATGCCATCAAGAACTTGGCTTATGGTTATGGGATGAAGAACTACCCACTCCACTCCAACGATTTAGATCGTCTGCCATATTATGTTTTTTTTTTTGGTAAAATGGTAAAAGTTGAGAATTGTCCAGTAAAATAACATTCTGCCATAATGTTTATCCTTTTTAAAGTTCTTTTCCAAAACAAAGAGCAAATTATCTTTAGGAGTTTTGCTGGTTCTTTGATACCAAACTACAAAATATCTTTGTCGATGAAAAGTCATCTCAATAACTGTACTTTGTGTCCAATGAACTCCTAAGGGCACCCCCATTGAAAGTTCGATTGGGGGGGTTACAAAAAAACCAAAAAAAAAAAAAAAAAAAATTCATGAATATGGCTCGCGGAGGATCATTGGGATGAACTCGGATCAACACTATTTCGCGGATCCCATACTACGTGGCGGACCGCAATTGGTCGACTATTATTATTATTTTTTTAAAGCAAACAAAAAGAAATTAATTTTTTTTTTATGAACCTTCCCCCATCGGTTTACTGATCGAGGTGCTCTAATGATACATGCATAAGATCCATAATTTACAAATGATTTAGCTTTATTACTAGGCTATGAACCGGTGACGTAACCAGGTTGGATCTAATAATGTTATTTTAATTGAGATATATTTTATATATTTACATATATATATAATGTTATTGCAAAATTTTGATAGAATTACAAAAAGAATTACTTTTGTCAGCCTGAAAGGAAGAAACAAGTGAGATTACCATTGAACGATTTGACAAAGTCCTAATTTCGATCCAAATGTACCAAAACCACAGGCTCTAAATTCGCAATCAAATACGGAATTTTCTTTGTAAGAATAATTGCGTATATATCAAACAAATTACTAAAAACAAATGTAAAGGAGAAACTGATCAAGCTCGTTTACAAAAACCATCAACATTCTACAAAAAGCAAAGAAAATATGTACAGATCTTCGAGTTGGAACCGTGCCACGGAAGACTACTCGTCCGCACCGCCCAAAGGATTGTGGATGGGCTCCATGATCGGTCCCCTTGACGAAGACGAGCCACCTTCCTACAATAATCCACCAGCGGATGAGATGGTTAAGAAGGAGAAGTCACCTGCCAAGTTCGCAGAAAAGGCTATTCACATCATTCCTTTTGTTCTTCTTGCATGTGCTCTCGTCCTTTGGCTCTTCTCAAATCCAGGTATATATAATACACACACACAAAGGTTAGTGAACCAAAAACTCTACGTATAGCAACATAATGATTCAGTTTGAGCTGAACTTGCGGACCTAGAATTTTTATTGTCTTTTTTAAAAAAACACTATACAACCATGACCTGCCTTGAGACTCATATTGGCTTGAATTCATTTATTAAACATATAGTTTTCTTAATCATTTGGGGACTGAGTGATACATACATATTAAGTACTTACTTTGGAGACCAATGTTTATCTCGCTATGCCAAAGACCGGCTCTGTATGCAGAGCCGGATCTGAGGGAAGTATTATGAAACATTTGCATGGGATCTCCTAGTTTGTGAGGCCCCATATTTAACTATTTTGTTATATATAAAAGTATGAAATGGAAAAATATTTCTTGTTAATATAATTCAGATAAATAAATTTATTAGTACAACCAAAATGTGAAGATATATTTATGTTATTAAAACTTACAATTTTGCTTTTTTTATAAAGAAAATAGATGTTTTAAACTAATTTTTTACAAAAAATAGTTTTATAAAATTAATAAAAAATTATAAAAGTTAAATAAAAAATTAAACTTTTTTCTAATTTCGAATATGGCCCCTAAAATGTCGGGACCGGCTCTGTATGTATGCAACCTCACTCATTTGCAATGACCTAGTACATGAAATATGAGTAAGTAAGATCGTTGTATGAGTAATTTTATAACAGAACACAATTTTTGTAGATGTGGTTGATGTTGGGATGAGAGAGGAATCAATTGCGGCTCGGATTGAAGGACTGACAATAGAAGGAGACATCGACAATGATAGTGATGGAACTCAGACTGGTTTCTTGGGTGCAACGTTAGAGCTCAATGGTGATTCGGACAAAACAAATTATGCTGATCGGAACAGACGAGCTTCAAGGAAACTGATTAAAGGCTTCTACTAGTTAATAAATAAATCAACCACCAATCCATTTTTTATACATTTTGGATCATCATTTCAATCTATAAGCTTTTCCAAATGGATTTTTTAAATTTATTTTTGTCTTTGGTTAATAAATGAGCAGCTTAATTTAAATCCAAGTGTATATTTCTAATCTCAAAAAAAAAAAAAACTTCTACATGAATCCGATTGACAAAACTTCTAAATATAAAGATATATATATATATATATATATATATTTATTTATATAAAACTAATTAAAAATTGTGATATCACTTCACATGAATGATGTATATGGAGGAGGATCAAAATTGTTTTTAGCGATTTTACTTCACATGAATGATGCCATGGGCAGTCAAGTCGGTGATTCGGTAGCTTGTGGAGGAGGAGGCAAACCGATAGCAACTTCCAAACCGTCTTTCTTTGTCATATCAAAGTCTTCATTTGCATGAGTTTGAGTCACACAAATTGGTACATGCCTTGGTATAGGTATACCGGAAGGATGAACATACCTAATCGGTTCATGGTTGGCATAGTACATTGGATGGACCATAAAAGGTGAAAAGTTGTAGTAAGGTGGTACGTTTTGGTAGATTGGCATGTATCCCATTGATAGATTCTGAAACCGGTTTGATATCTCAGTTGGAGGTTGAATTTGTACCGGTTCTTGAGATCCGGTTATTAGTTGTTTAGATAGAGTCCTCGATGATGATGTTGATGCATCTGGAGAATTCTTCTCTTTATCCTTCTATTCAAATTAACCAAAAGTTAAAACCCTAAAAATCAATAAACTTTTAGTAATGGGTTACTTGAGAAGCAAGGCAAGAACCTGGTCTTCTAGAGAGATGTCAAAGAGACTAGCACGTCTTTTTCTCTTGTCGTTACCATTTAACCTAAGAAAATATTTTTGAGCATGACTCGCGACTTGTGTCGGTGTTCTTGTCGTCACGTATAACGTTGAGATCCCTCTCCAATCTCCTTTTCCGAGCCTCTTCAAGCCGACCAAGAACATCCGATGTTCTTCTTCGGTCCATGGATTCCCTTTAAAGATTGATTTATAAATAAAAAATAAAAGGCTTTTGTCCCCAAAATATTTAGAATTAATATATATATGAATATATAGGTCTTTAATTTATATTTTTTTTTTATAATTATTTAAATTCTTAATGACACTTAAGTATTAGGTCAAGAAACGCTTACCCTTTTTCTTCACATGAGCTGCAGACCTCACTTTCTTTGAATGAATCTGACCATCAGAATGATAACCGGTATCTTCAACGGCGGAGATTAGGTCATCATTACCGTTACTATTATCGTTAGCAAGAAGAGAATCAAGATTCCCTAAACTGAGACTCTTCCTTAACGCCGTTACCTCAGGCGACTTAATAGGATGAGATGATATGTCAACGCCGAACAGTTTCACGCTTCCTTTATTAAGACAACAAGTACGTGCGTTATGGACATTGTTGCCACAGTGTGAACATGTCTTCGCCGTAGTCACCATCTCTCTCCGATGATCTTATCTCTACGTACGATACGATCTCACGATATTTATATCTCTTTAGTTTCTTCTGCGTGTAGTTTATTATAGATAATTTATATATGTGATATTTATTTATCCGAATATGCATTAGCTGGTTTTCATGAATATCGTTGGTGTTTTACTTTTTTTCTCTTTTCTTCCTTAAAGATAAAGCGTTACCTAATTTATCTTCTTTTATTTGGAAAATAAATCCAGCAGTATCAGAGTAAGATCATAATTGATGGTGTAGATTCTTTACGTTAGGCATTAGTGTAGATTTCAGCCGTTAGATTATTTTTCAGCTAACTTTGTAGCGAGTATTAAATCCGGGTAAATAGTTCTGATATTAATCGTATATTCGATTTTTTTTGTATTTATTGAATTTCCTAAGACATCCAGATTTTTATCAATATCTCAATCTTAACTAAGTTGAAATATACTTTTATCTTAAATTTAACATATAAGTAATTTGTTTGTATATGTTAGAAAATTTATGGTAAAGTCCTTTTGCGTGCAGTAAATCCAAGGTATGTAATACTTCTCTATCAGATATTTATTTTTCGCCAAAAGAGTTCCATACGACATGTCGAAAAGGAATTTTCACATCAGTGGTTTCCTTAATTTCATTCATTGTAAAACTGTTTTATTTTTCAAAGATTTTTTTTTGTGGGTGAAAATTAAGGCTTTGGAATGACAGCTTTTCTCCAAAATTTCAAGGTTATTTTGGTTTTGATTTTCCCTTTTTGAGGTTGAAGTATGTGGTCGTAGTGATGGTTTGTTTAGCTTTGTTTGTCTATATCGCATTTATAGTTTGTTTTGTGGTTACTAGAAGAGTCTTGAATATAAAGAACTCAAAACTACTACACAAGTGGTGTTAACTTAGAATTCCTAGCAACTAAATATATGTATCCGTATATTTGATATAAATATTAAAAATGCAACTAATAATGTTAGCCATTCCTCTGAAGAAGTATATATTCAAGAAAAATACAAGTAATCTCTAATTGATCCTATGGAAGACGAGAAGGATCCATGACGTTTGTCAAAATTGATATAATAAATGTCAATAACCCCTGTCTATAGACTATAGACCAAAAACCTGAAACTCCCTATATTTAAAAAGTCTAAAAGAGAGTAATCATGATAACTTGATTAATACTTGTAAATGATAAGAAGACCAAGTAGAGCAATAAGACAAAATAAGGACAAGAAAAAGAAAAAAAAAACGACAAAATCTAAGAGATAAAAAGACAAAAGTCAGAACCCCACTACAACTCCAAACAATATAAGGTAAGGTAGTATGATAGTTCTCGGACCGATCCACGAAACTCCCTCAAAACCCTTTCTTTCAACAAGCTTTCTTCACTATATATTACCATATTCCTCCTCACTCTACTTCACACTCACACACATATACAAAAATCAATAGAGTTGTTATTAAGTTAATTAGGATTGAAGATGGCTACTAAACAAGAAACTTTAGCCCTAGAATCCATAAGCCAACACCTTCTCACAGATTTTGCTTCCACAGAAACCATAGAAAACCAAAACCCTAAACCAAACTCTACTCTTAACCGACGTAAACCGCCTTTACCGAACCTATCCGTTTCAAGAACGGTCTCTTGCACGATAAAGAAGGCAGAGGAAGAGGAAGAGGAGGAGGAGAAAAGACACTACCGTGGAGTGAGGAGGAGACCATGGGGAAAATACGCGGCGGAGATTAGGGATCCTAACAAAAAGGGTTCTAGGCTTTGGCTTGGGACTTACGAAACGCCCGTGGAAGCTGCAAGAGCTTATGACCAAGCGGCGTTTGAGTTGCGTGGGAGAAAAGCAATCTTGAATTTCCCACTAGATGTGAGGGTTGGTTCGGACAGTTGTTTTGTCGGATTAGGGAAACGTAAGAGGGTTAAGAGTTTCTTGGCCGAGGAGGAGGAGACGGTGCCGGTTAGGGTTAAAGTTGAGGAAAAAGAGGTTGAAGCGGTTCCTTTGACGCCGTCAAGTTGGAAAGGGGTTTGGGATGTGGGAGCAGGAGATGGGATCTTTAGTGTTCCTCCGTTAACTCCCACGTCTCCCAACTCCGTTACTTGAACTTCTGAATTGTCAACGGTTGGTGACGTTTCCACCTGCTTCACTCTCATAATTTCTTTATTTTTTATATTATACAAATGGTAGTGTACAAATATCAAATTAGTATTCTAGTACCAATCATTTTATTCGTTAATTGTTTATAGGAAATCAAAAGTATGGATGTTGAAAATCTGGATCATATATTGTATTTGTTGATTGTATAAAATCTCTTGGTCATTCTAGTTTTTTTTTAAGTCATATCTACCCACAATGATAATTAGTCAATAGGGTATACAATTAGAGGCAAAAGTTAAACGGAGCTATTTTTTTTTTTTTAACACTGAGATCGAACAAAAGTACGAGGGGATACAACAAGGACAAGATAATAGCAGTAAAATGAGATGTCAGAAGACATCATCAAAAGGAAAAATCGATAGAAAGGAGAAGGAAATAACCTATTTAAAGTTAAACGGAGCTATTAAAAATGCGAATTAGTCAATAGAGTATACAACAAGTAGTTATTTACACACAAAACCTAAACGTAAAAGTTAAGATTTTCAAATTTGCAATAGGGAACACACTATCAATGGATAATGCCGTCTAATATTATCTACAAAGCATCCATAAAAAGGGACGTGTAATCAAAATTATCTTAAAATTAATAGGATTAATTAGTGTTCATAAATTATGATTAATTATTTAATTTTTTTTATTAGGTTAGGAGTGTAATTGTCAAGCAACTAAGCAAGAGGGTGGGGTTTGGTTTGGTTATATATGTGGAGCCCTAGATAATTAAGTAGAAAATCAAGTTGCTTCAAATCATATCCTAGCAAGTAGCTGGCAAGATAACCCTACAAGAAAAGCAACTTGACGAAGTTGTCTCTCCTCTAGTCCTCTTCGGGTGAACGTTATACATGATGTCTCTTGATATGTTAAGACAGTCACCCATAATCAGCTAAAACCCACCACCTTTTTAAGAATTAACTTAGGATTTGAACCAAGGGTGACGCAAGGGACTGAACTCTACAAGAATCAAACTAGATGTTAGTGAAGTTAGTCACCATCAGAAACAAAATCAAGTTGGCTCAACTTGAATGAGTCCTGACCAAAGATCATAACTTGTCTCCATAAATGGTTAATGAATAAAAATGGGGCCCACAGAGTAAATCAGAGAAGACTTGTGATTTTTTTTTTTTGAAGACTTATGATACACAACCCAAGGCAGCCAAACACATGTGTTTATGATTCTTTTCTATACACCTATAAATATCAAAACTTTCCATTAAGATATCACCTCAGGTTGAGACTCTCTCAAACCGGAAAATACCAAAGAGGACCGAAGAGAGAAGGCATTACAGAGGCATGAGAAGCACACACTTTCCTCAACTTGCACATGCTAGTCAAAATCTATTGTACATTAAAAATAATGATAACTAGACATTGACCCGCCCGATTGGGCGGGTATTTATTTATGTATTTATTTATATTAAATGATGTATTTATAATATTTAAACATAAATTTTGATTGAAAATTAATCTTTACAGTTATAATAATTCAATTTAAAAATTAAAAAAAATATTCTGATATAAATTTTAGATTTCTTAATTAAAATAATATAGAGGTAGGAATAATTGTTTCCAATTCCAAAATCTTATCATCCCTTAAAAAATTATAAATACTTAATATATATATATAAATATGTGTAACTATAACTTCTATAATTTCTTAAAGAAAATAACATATTATTTCTTACTAATAAATATTAAAATATTGAATATTTTAATACCGAATATATTAGGAAATTTATTTTGGTTATTTTTTGACTAAGAAAATCTATTATTTAAATTATGAAAAGATATTAAATACTTAAATCTATTATCTAAATTAGAAAAAGATAAGTATGCTTAAATAAATGTTCAATAAATATCTCAATGGCATTCTATTGTAAATAACTGATAAAATTAAGGGTTATTTCTATTTGGTACTTCTCTTTTAATAATATAGATTCTTTTTTTGAACAAAGGGTCATTACATTTTTTTTTTCTGACAAATAAAGTCATTCAGTTTACGTACAAAAACTCAAATATTTTCAATAATGTATAAACATCAACATTTTCTACTTGTGTGATCGTGTGTGTATAAGTGGTAAAGGAAAACCCAATGATGCATGTTGATTGACGAGTTTAGATTTGCAATCTTTTTTTTTTTTTTTTTTTGCTAAAATTTGAAGTTTAGATTTGCAACTTGTAACCTTTTTTCTATTTAATTAGATGTGATCTCCACTCCTTAATAGCAGAAAGAAGAGACTGATTAGGAAGAAGAGTTTGGTTGGTGAAGGGCATATCCGTCATCGGAGATTTATGATTCTTCTCAAACCATTCCATAATGGCTCTCTTCTCGTATGTGTATCCATCAGAAGCAACACATGGATTATCCATCACATCCTAATATCATCAAACTAAAATGATCAAAAACCAAACACAAATAAACAATAAATATGTCTTATTGTGTTTCGATCATTGTTATTACCTTAGTTATTGGACAGTAGAAATGGCCCGGAGCGTGGTGGTTATGATCAATTAGGGTTTCAGGAAACATGTTTCTTGCATTACAAGCAACGTTCTTTAACCGTTCAAGAACCGGTAGAATCTCTTTCCCTAGATCAGGACGGTCACGCTTCCTCATCTCCGCACACCTAAGCCCTATCATAACCATCTCTTTCGCCTCCTTAACCGGCCAATCACCAGCACTCTTATCCAAGATCTCTGAAAATCTCCCGGTTTGATCTCTCAACGCTTTCTCTAACGAATGAGCCAAACCCATCGCTGACCTAGCCGTGGCTAGCTGAAGAAGTATGATTCCAAACGCGTAGATATCAGACTCAGGAGTGACCACACCGGTTCTTTGGTACTCAGGATCAATGTAGAAGAACGTTCCTACCGGACCGGTTTGGTTAAAAACCGTTGAGGCGTGCGAAGGATCAAGATTGACCATCTTGGAGAGGCCTACGTCACCGATTTTGCTCACATTGTTCCGGTTTAGGAGTATGTTTGCCGGTTTAAGATCGCGGTGAACGATTGGTCTTGGCTCGTTTGTGTGGAGGAAGTAGAGAGCTGAAGCTATCTCCCATGCGATTCTGAACCGCTCAAACCAACGTAATGGCGGTTGCGGTGCGTTAGGGTTTGGTCTGCGTTTCATGAGTCTTTCCTCGAGGCTCCCGTTGTGCATGTACTCGTAGACTAAGCTGCCGTGGTCAGGACATGCGCCTAGGAGGAGAAGCAAGTGTGGGTGACGAATCTTGCTGAAAATCTCAAGCTGAAGAAGTAACAACAAAAATATAAAGAAAAAAAAAAAATATAAAGAACAATTGTTTGAGAAAATAACAGTGTTTTTAAAATATAAACAAGTTTCTTAAAATTTCATTTAAACAATGCACGTCGGTTTAAATCGTTTTAAACCAATTGTAAATGTGGTAAACAGATTCAAATCATTCTAAATTGATTTAAATCAATCTAAATTAGTGTAAATCGATTAAATCAATTAACTTCAAAATGGATTTTTTTTTTTTTTTTTTTTTTTTTTTTTTTTGTAACACCATCAAAGTGGAATGACTACTTTGATCATATTATTTTAACCAGTAATCTATAACATTATTTGAGAAGTAAATTTGCTTAGTTGTCAACTTCTCCATGATTTTAGGTTATTTTGCTTATTTTTCATGTTTTAATAATTTATTATATAATAAAAACGAATTTATGTTAATAATATTATATTTTTAGAAAATATATTAATTCTTATGTATTACATTGTTATCTTAAAAATATATTTTTAAATTATTATTATAGAAGTAAATTTGCTTAGTTGTCAACTTCTCCATGATTTTAGATTATTTTTCTTATTTTCATGTTTTAATAATTTATTATAAAATAAAAAAAGAATTTATGTTAATAATATTATATTTTTAGAAAATATGTTAATTCTTTTGTATTAGATTGTTATCTTAAAAATATATTTTCAGTTATAAAATGTAACTGAATTTGCTGATTAATTTGTAACTTTCACGTTGAAAGTTAGAGCGGTTAATATCGTTTATATCCTTAATAAATAATTAAAATTTTAATATAATTAAACATAAATAAAAAACGAATTTCAATGATTTTAGATTTATCTTTACCTAAAAATATTTTATATTGGGTTATAAAGTCTTTATTAACCTTAAAAATAATTATATTAGTTAATATATAATTAATTATAAATTAAAAACGAATTTCGTTTATCTGATAATTATCCAAATTTTAATTTTTTTATATTATTTGATAAAGTCTTTATCAACCTTAAAAATAATTATATTTGTTAACATATAATTAATTCTAAATTAAAAATGAATCTCATGAATTTGATAATTATCTTTATCTAACTTTTTTATATTGTGTTATAAAGTCTTTATTAACGTTGAAAAACAATTATATTTGTTAATATATAGTTAATTAGGAAAAATCAATTCGCAAAAAAATTATGTATAGATAATTTATATTGTGTTATCCAAAACATTATTAAAGATAATTTTTTATACTTTTTTGTTATGTCTAAAAAATGATATTAATTTATTACTAAATGTTTTAAATTCATGAGCATTTTCAAATATAAGTTGTGTAATGAAAATTATTTATATGATGATGAAAAATTTTATATATAGAAAGAATTTGTTTAGTTTATTATTAAATATTTTGAGTCTATGAACTATAATTTATTATAATTTACATAAATTGATTATATATTTATTTATAGATATTAGTAAAATTATTAAGCCCGCAAGTGCGGGCAAAACACCTAGTTTATCTATAAATAAGAGATGATCTTTATCTCTCAGATTGATCAAAAAAAAAAAAGAGATGATCTTTATCTTTTAATTTTTAAATGTTTCATCAAAGTTATTTTCTAATTAAACAAATATGTAATACACATATATAACATCTAAAATTAAATAAATATTTCGTCAAAAGTTTAAAGAAGAAAAATA